AGCACATTAATCATTTTGTTTTTAAATGCTACAATTTGAATTTGAATTAATAATTAATTGGAATTTATATTTATGGTTACAAATGCAGATAATGTTGAGATTCGAATGCATATTGTTTGAGTTTTTCTATTGTAAACAATTGTTTGATTTTGATATATATATATATATATATATATATATATATATACACTTTATTCTTTGTCCGTGCATTGCACGAGTGGAATTCTAGTACGTATATATAGTGATTATTAGGGCCTGGATCTCTAATCTATGGAGTATTTTTTTTATTTATTATTTTTAAGGGCCAACGTCTGCACTTGCACCTCAGTCGTTATATCGTGGACCGTAGTATATAATCGAGTATGCACCGCGCATTAGTGTTAACGGAGTGACATTACAGTGTATCTAAACCGACACTGCCTCACGTATTATTTTTATATTATCAAATGAAACTGCAGTTATATCAAAATGATATTGTAGTTGTGGCGAAATGAAACTGCAGTATATATAAAATGAAACTGAATAACATTTTACATATTTGAGTATATATTGTACAATGAAGCTGTAATTATATCGGAATGATCATGTAGTTGTGTTTTAATGTAACTATAGTGTATATAAAATAAAATTAAATAACGTTTTCACATATTTGAGTGTATAAATGTTGAATGAAACTGTAGTCATATCGAAATGAAACTGTAGTTGTGTTGAACTGAAACTGCAGTGTATACAAAATGAAACTGATGAAGAGCAGAGTTATTTTTCGCGGAACGGCGCGAAACAGATTCCGTTTCTTTTCATTAAATAAAACGACGTCGTTTTGATGCGCGGACATAATCGATTATGCACCGCAGTGCACGATATAATTTGCCACTTGCACCTTGAATTGGCCTACTCCGTATTTTGTTTTCAGCGGAGAAAAGTTTCTTTTTCTCAAAATGTGTACTATACAATACATTATTGGAAATGCCTTTAGTAAGAGGACAAATGAATATATGGTTTTGGTTTTGCAAGAAGTCTTTTTTGCATTTTTCTTAAAGAAATATCGCGTCTCTTACATTTAAAGGTTACGCTGTAATAATATAATTTGAAACAAACATTCTGATAGAATAAATTTTCTAGCGACCGTTAAGTTATGTATATACCAGTAAGGCAGTAGGGAAAGCATATAGAATTAAAGTGATTTTATAGATGAAAAGTTTTAGTATACTATGTGTTAACAAACAAGCTAGGTTAGAAAGCCTTGCTAGGGTTAGGGTAGAGACGTATACTAAAGTGTTTGCTCCAAATATCTTCTCCACAGCAGTGGAAGACTAGAAACTAGGTTTTATTCCTTCCAAAAGGTTGAACTCCAATTCTAAAGGCCCCACACCCCGACTCAACAGAACATATGAGAGGCTGTAAATTATGGTAACTCAACTGAATACAGAAACTAGACATTTGTTTACTGTGCACAAGAAGTCCCCTCACTTTGAGAGGTAGTTCCACACTGTCGTTGGTGAGACTCGAGAACTATTAACTGTTGACTTGGTTAAACAACTAATATCAGAGTTTGATTGATTAGTTTTTTATAACAACTTATTAAATTACTCCAAAATGCTAAAATTTAAAAGGCTATTCAACAAAACCTTTTCGATCAACTTTTTGAAAAAGTCATGCATTTTGCATGTAATCAGATCAGCTAACGGTTAATTTACCAAACATCTTTCTATAATTAACTAATTAATTTTATTAATTAGTCAAACCCACTAACCAATCAGCTAATAACTATTTACCAAACACTTTCATAGTGGTAATTGAATACATGTATTGGAGTAGGAATCTTAGTTAGCTAGGCTGACTTTTCTAACCGGCCTCCAAGTCTCCAACCATTAGGAGACAGAGAACGCCCAAAGGTGAGGAATTGCAAGTTGCAATGTTTCTATGTTATATAGTCATTTTCATTTTGATAAATTCCAAAAGCACGTTTACCTAACTAGTAAACTAGATGATACCAAATTAATGTTAATTTGAAAGTTCTTCGCGTCGTCACCTTAGCTATCATATAAGGGCCGGGGAAAAGGATGTTACATGCAGTAGCCATCTAGCTAGCTAAGCTGTGACAAATTTTACTGTAGACCATGGTCTATGTAGCAACATAGACCTGAAGTATGTATCATTTTAATTACACTTCAGTTTCATTTGATAATATTGTTATGTTTTTAGTTTCATTTTCGATCCACACTAGTTTCATTATAGCAATTTAAATAACTATCAATTTAATTCTACAATAGTTTCATTTGATAATGTACATTATTGTTTTTGTTTTTTTTTTGTTTTTTTTTTTTTTTTGTTTCATTTTCCACACACTAGCTAGTTTAATTATAGTAATGTTGAAGTATTATTTTAATTGTACTTAAGTCATTTGATAATATATGTTATTGTATGGCTTTGAATTTTAGTTTCATTTTCTACACGCACTAGTTTCATTATAGCAACACTAAAGTATCATTTTAATTATACTATACTTTCATTTGAGAATAATGTGCTTTGTTTTTTAGTTTCATTTTTCACACACACTAGTTTCATTATAGTAACATTAAAGTATTATTTTAATTATACTACAGTTTCATTTGACGATAATGGTCCACACAGCAATGTGTGGACCATGGTCCACTGTATAACAAATGCTAAGCAGTCAAGCCAAAATTTGCTAACATGCGTTATCCTATTCCAGGTATACTATAAAAGGATATAAACATAATAATTAACTTGAACGGTCAAATATGTATGTATGTATATAGTAATAAAATCTTTGAGTGCATTAAAATAATTAGATAGTCTCAACTATTAGGATTCTATGTATTTTAGTCAATTTATGATTTCTTATCCCAGTCACCCAGTGACTCTTCCTTGTATATATTTTCATTGTCTTTACTCTTTGCAATCATCTTATTCAAACAATTATTGCAGTTCTCATTTGGTATCAGTTAGCTAGCGTTTCTGTCTGTACCATTGCGGAAATTGTGCAGTCGGTGCTCCGTTGTTTCTTGATTTGTTTCTCCGTCAACAATTTCTGAAATCATGCAACAATGCGGTGGCTGTTGGAATCGTGATAGTCCGCATCGAAGACAACAACGTTGCAGTCGTGACTTTAATGTTCAATTTCAAATTTTTAATTGTTCCGGTCACACAGGAGCCAATTGTTTTCGGCGGCGCTATGACGATCAGTGCTAAATTTGTAAAGGTTTCGGTCACACGGGAGCCAATTGTTTTCGTCACTATGATGGTCAGTGTCAAATTTGTAAAGGTTTCGATCACACGTGAGCCACTTGTATTCAGCGTTATTCAGGGGCTCCGGGTACTCGGACAAATTTGGTGTTTAGGATGGTTTTGGTGCTAACACCTCGTCAAATTCTCATACTTGGGTTTCGGACACTGGAGCCACAAATCATGCAACTCCGGACATAGCTGCACTTTTTACATCGGAGAAGTACACTGGTAATGACACTTTACGAGTCGGTGATAGTATGTGCCTGTGTATTAATCGTGGGTGTCATGCTTCCTTTGATACCCCTTCTAGGTCTTTAATTTTATGATGTCTGATATATTGAATGTTCCTGGTCTATCTACCTCTTTATTATCTGTTCAACGTTTTGCATCAGATAATAAAGTATTCTTTGAGTTTCACCCATCTTTTTTTTTGTTGTGAGGGATATCAATACCAAGGAAATTCTGTTTCGGGGCAATAGCTCTTGAGGGCTATACACGCTACCGTTGCCAAGTTCGTTTCCCTCAGCTAACAGAGATTTAACAAAAGGACCAAAATTAGAACAAAATCAATAGTTAAAGGACCAATTTGATCAAATTAAAAGTCGAGGACAAAAATTGATAAAAATCAATAGTCGAAGGACCATTTCTGAAATTAACTCTAAAAATAAATTAATAATAATAATAATTTTGAAAAATGACCATTACAATTATGCTTGTCAAAATTGTAATATGTGGATACAATAAGAGTGGATTCCATTTTTTATCCTACTGTTATAGGGGCGTTTCCAATTTTAGTCCACCTTAATTTTTTTGCCACTTTATAACCACTATTATTGAATGTGTTCCACTTTTAGTCCCACCGTTAGTATTTCCATCAAGAGGCCGTGTAATATTCTAGGGGTATTTTGACCTTTTCTTCTCATCCAAGACTATGTTTGACTAAAGAAATGAGAACATTAAACCTAAAACCTAAGAAACCTCGCCGGCTCATGTTAGAACAAACGAAATGATGTAGCTTTGCCTTCCCATTCTCGTTGTTCAAAGAGCCATCTTTGAATATCGGTGGAGGAGGAGGACGAAGCGCCTGGATTAAAAGAGAAGAGACAAACATAAAAAAGACCAAAATACTCTTTGAGTATACGGCCTCTTGACAGAAATATTAATAATGGACTAAAAATGGAACACATTCAATAACAGTAGTTGTAAAGTGACAAAAAAAATTAAAGTGGACTGAAATTGGAAACATCCTTATAACTCACTCTTAAAAATAGTATTGCAAGGCTGCGGATGATCTAATCTTTACCACTATTCAATAATGAGATGTGATGTATATGGGGGAAGAGATGTGATGTATATGTAGTTTTAATTTACTTTTTTTATTGATTAATACAGTAATAATTAATTCTAAGAGTGACTCACATTTTTCTCTCTTTTTTAATTAATTTTTTCAAATCCATGGCCATCTCATCAAAGGTCCAAAACATACACCCAAATCAATTATAAAGGATTACAATTACTCTCCTAAATGTTCTGTCGGGTCGGAGTGTGAGAGCCCTTAGAGTTGGGGTTCAGCCTTTGGAAGAAGGATTCCAATTACTCCGTAATACTTTAACTAATCACATACACTACCCTTGAGATGTTCATGGGAATATGAGATAGCGTAAAGCTTTTTCAACTTAATCAAAAATGATGATAGATTAATCTCAATATGTGAAGTTATAAACATGAGATCACACTAACAAAACAAATACGGAGTAACATACACTTGACATTCTACCAAAGGGAATAACACTTTTCACTTGACATTTTAGCAACCAATTAAAAACCAACAAACAAAAACCAACAACGTTGAACCCGGTGGATGTCACTTAGTCCAAATCTTATAGTGGGATACAGACACACTATTTAGGTTGCTCCATGACCAAGCATCTAAAAACTAGATAAGCACTTTTTCCAGAGAAAATTTAAACACCACGAGCAAATTTTACACTTGATGATCGAACCCGAATCACAATACAAATATAGAACTTTTGCAGAGTTGTATCGATCAGTTGGCCATTCTGCAATTCTTCCTGATCTCACCACAGGATCCGGTTAGAGGTCTAATATTACCCATCTTGATCATCGCCCTAGCGAAATGGGAGTTGAATAATGCTGGGTTTTTGCTGTATTTTTTGACTAACGAATCGGTGGATCCGCCATTGTAGAGAGCTTGATCCGAGTGAAGAAGTCCCTTCTTGTTGATCAGGTTCTTGTAGTAGTTGTTGTCGAAGAAGGCAGGAGTTTCAAGGTCGAGTGGGGCTAAGTTGTCGTCCCCTGACCCTGTCTTTCTAGGGCACTTCCGTTGTCTTTTCTTAGCAAAGGATGCCGCAATAGTGTTGGTGTCGTTGTAAATGCGGTCCCTAAAAATTGTGCACCTTGTTTTTCCAATTGTGTGCGCACCTTTTTATAGCATCAAACAAAAATACTTTATCCAACTTTAGCAGATCAATAGATTGCAAATCAATTATGATAACTTTTTATAGGGAACACTGAAATAGGTCATTAAACTTTACTCCAAGTGTAATTAAGTCTCTGAACTTTAAAGAGTACGTGCAATTAAACATTATAACTTGTTAAAATGAGTCATATAAGCCCGGTTTATGAGTAACCTATTGGTTACTCGTAAAATTATTGTTGTTAATCGTCGTTGGCCGCCTTTGACTGTTGCTAAATCGTCCTATTTCAAAGAAAAAAATGACCGGAAGTTACTTTCACCGGAGAAGACTACATGATGGTCGCCTTCTTCTTCAATGGCAATGCAGTGGTGACTGTTCATCGGTGGCCGAAATTGTTGATGGAACCCTAATAACCGATCATTCTAGTTAAATAATCGGCTATTAGGTTTAAATGCACTAGAATAGCAGTTCAAGTGTTTAATTGCATTTTTTAAAATTTAATGGTTTAATTACATTTTTGGGTAAAGTTCAGGATCCATTTACCCTTTTTTTTTTTTTTTTTTTTATACGGTACGCTAATATCCTATGCTTTTGTCGCTTTAACATTAGGATAAATGTTTCGCACCTGATAAAGCAACCAAATCCCTAGTAGAAAGACCTTGGTTTTGGAAACTTGAGATGAGAGCGCTGAGATTTGAAAAAGGACTTGGGAGTACACCGGGGGTGTTGGCTACATTGAGGTTGGGTGTTTTGGAGTCTCTCCTTCCGAGTTTGACTTTCCAGCTTGGTCCTCCAAGCTATAAGAAGAGAATGGATATTAAAACTTTGTGGAGTATATATTATATATAAAAAGAAAGAAAAATTTACAATGTCCATCAATACAATACCTTTTGCAACCCTTGTGAACATAATACTAGATACAATATATTTAAAAGTAAACATGATTACATCTTGTGTAAAAGGACTCCGTAGTACCTTAAAATTTTCTTACGAAGTAATAATTGACTAATTTGTAGAGAGAGAGAGAGAGAGGCGTAACTAACTTGAGGTCTTACCAATACGATTGAGTCACGAGCAGCAATAGCTATAATATCTGCACAAGATACAACTCCAGGACACACTTCCTCAACAGCATTTTTGATATCGTCAATGACATTGTATCCCCTAACAGAATTGTTGTTGGGAAAAGCAGTTTTTTCCCCTTTAAAGTAAGAAGTATCATCCAAGAGAATGGATCCATCACACCCCTGTCAATCACATTATACAATCTCTTACAACATTATTTTCTAACTATAATAATAATACATAAAACTTATTTTTACCGTACATTCTATTTTTTTTTTTTAAGTTTTGGACTATATCCTGCCCATGGTACCTATTGCACTAGATGCTCAATAAAATAAGTGTAAGTTTTGTTCAACATGAATGATAAGATCTAAGTAGAAAGTCAAAAGTAAATTATTGACGACTAATTGAGTATTCACTCCCTTCCCCACGTCACGTCAAACAAAACTCGATCATATTTTTAGAATATAAAACAATAATTAAATATATTACTTGGACAAAACAATCATGGAAGTGGAGACGAAGGAGCGAAGCTCCCATACGCTTTTCCTTGTTCACAGCAGATGTAACGACTGATTTTACAGTACCAAACAAGATGGGACAGGTCTTGGAGTAGAACTTGGTGGAAAGATGCGCAGAAGAGCTACCCAAAAAGATGGACATAAGAACAATTGCAAGCGCCATTCTTGCTTTTGTTGTTAAACAAGAAGAAGAAGAAGAAGAAGAAGAAGAAGAAAACATTGTTTGTAGTTGCTTAGGCAATAATGGAGAAGATGCAAGTGTAAGTGTGTACAAATCAAATACAAACAAGAATGTAATGTAGGCAACGAGATAATGCATGTGCGAACATAATGAATAGAGCAGTACGTTGTATGTATATATAGTGATTAGGGCATCTCGCTAATGTATAGAGTCTTGTTTTATTTATTATACTTTTTATAACTGCAAGTAAATGTGTTATAAGTGCAAGTGGCTAGTGCAATTTTGCAAATAAAAAGTGCAGGTAAATTCACTTACAAGTACACATACTTTCACCTACAAGTGCATGTAATTTTGTCATGTTAACATTCAATGATCTGAGTTCGTTCTGTTTTGCATGCTTTTATTCTTGCGGGAAGTTCAGAGGGTAGTTAGTACCCGTGAAAATCACCCGCAAACATTCATGCACCTAGGTGCAACTACTTATAACTATAGGTGCACCAAGCTATATAACTATAGGTGCACTTAGTACTGATGCTTAGTGTAAATTTTACTTGCACCTATAATACATTTTACATGCACTTGTAATAGATTTTACTTGCACTTTGATGTTCAATTATTTACGAAAATGCCACCGCATTTTTTTTTAAAATCAGTGTTTCTCATCTATTAGATCTGGACACGTGGATGCAGACATTCGCATTTCGCTTCTGGGCAAGCCATTCGCACCAGAGTGCAACTATATATATATATATATATATATATATATATATATATATATATATATATATATATATATATATATATATATATAATTTTATCAAATATATAAAAAAACTTATTATAAAATAAATTATTATTTATCAAAATAAAAATAAATCAAAACTTATTCTAACTAATATATTACAAGTGTATATAAATTAATTTGTTTATTTGTTAACATTTTAAATAAAAAAGTTTATTTATATATTTTATACAAGTGGTCATAAACATTACTTAATTGAGTTGGAATTTGAAATTAGAGATTTGGGTTGATTAAATGATGTTTTAAATTTATATTTACTAATATAAATGTGTTAAATATGAATGTGTTACTTAATTAATTAAAATCGAATGTTTAGGACTTCAATTTTAAAATGTTTTAGTTGAGTCCAACTGATTAGTCTGATGGCTTGAGAATTTAGGGTCACAGTATAAAAAAAATAAAATTAACGCGATAGAAGTTCAGTCCAATTAACTCAAAACCGATGAATTAGATGGTCCAAGCGGATTGACAACGCTCCACACAATTGTGTAGACCACAGTCTAAATATAAAATACATTATTCTAAATCATAAAATACATTATTCTAACACATAGAGTACATTATTTAAACTCATAAAATACATTATCTTACCTTAAAAATTTCATTATTTTAACACGTAAAATACATTATACATTATTCTAACTCCTAAAATATATTATTCTAACACATAAAGTACATTATACTTTCTCATAAAAACATTATCTTACCTCATAAATTTTATTATTCTAACACGTAAAATACATTATTCTAACACATAAAATACATTATTTTGACTCATAAAATACATTATCTTACCCAGAATATTCATTATTCTAACACGTACACGGAGAAAAAAAATTAACATCAAAACAATATCGTTTTAAACCGTGGTCCACATAGCTGTGTGGATCACCGCCCACGCAATAATTTGCCCACAACCCTACGTGCAAGTTAATTGATATTTATAATAATGGTATGTTTTCTAAGTTTAATTATTAAAATGTGTATGGATAAGGTTTCTTACTAGTTAATAGATTCCACAACCCTACGTGCAAGTTAATTGATATTTATAATAATGGTATGTTTTCTAAGTTTAATTATTAAAGGAATAAGGGTCAAATAGGCCATCGAACTGCACTCAATAATACAATTAGGCCATCGAACTTTAAAAAGCTACAATTGGGTCCCTGAACTAACGAATTCTATTCAATTAGTCTAATTTGTAAGTTTCCAAGTTGTTAGCAGGTCACCCCTTTTCAAAAAAAATAATAATTATTATTTAAAATAATTATTTAATATTAATAATTTAAAAAAAAAAAAAAACAAACAAACAGATCGGCACGCCGGAGACGAAGAAGATTTCTTCGTCTCCGGCCACGAAGACGGAGACGAAGAAACCTTCTTCGTCTCTGGCTCCATAGCCGAAGACGAAAAATATCTTCGTCTCCGGCCATGGAGACGGAGTTAACTTCTTCTGTCTCTGGCCGGAGACGAAGGAACCTTCTTCGTCTCCGGCCAGAGACGAAGAAGTTAACTCCGCCTCCATGACCGGAGACGAAGAAGGTTTCTTCGTCTCCGGCGGAGACGATATCTTTTTTTTTTTTTTTTTTTTTTTTTAATAATTATTTTAAATAATAATTTTTTAAAAATATTATAAATTAGGGGTGACCTGCTAACAACCTCCAAAACCTATAAATTGGACTAATTGAATAGTATTAGTTAGTTCAGAGAGCTAATTGTTGCTTTTTAAAGTTCGGTGGCCTAATTGCATTGTTGGGTGCAGTTCGATAGCCTATTTCACCCTTATTCCATTATTAAAATGTGTATGGATAAGGTTTCTTACTAGTTAATAGATTTGTGGTCACCTTGATTCCCTTCCATACCGATACAATAACAATGACATCAACTATCTATATGTTAACTTGACTTTCTAAGAATCATATCAGTCATCCTACTTAAATGGACTTTAACTTTAGGTAAATTTTGTTGTGAAAGCGTCTCACGAGTCTTAATTTGTAAAACATGTCGGATCAAGAGAATTTGAGTTTTATGATAAATGGACTAAGTAAGACTATTTAATTTTTTACAAGTTATCTATTATATTTTGTTATAAAATATATTATATTTATGTTATAAAGTACTATAAATAAAGCTTAAAATATTAATTATATCCCCAATTCTTCTATGTAATGACATTTTATTTGCCGTAAATTGTTTATTATAGTTTTCTTAAAGTACTATATATATGCTATAAAGAATTATATATTTGACTTAAAGTATTGATGATATTTGCATTTATGTTATGCTATTAATTTATCCCTAAAAGGCTACAAAATGTGTAGTACATCTATGCAATAAAATACTATATTTATGTTATAAAGTATTATATATAAAGCTTAAAGTATTGAAGATATTTGAAATTATGTTATGTTATTACTTTATTTTCTGCAAATTAAACTGTCTATTATAATTTTGCAATAAAGTACAACATTTGTGATATAAAATATTATACATAAAGCTTACAATATTAATTATAAATGTAATTTTGTTATGTTATTATTATTATTATTATTTTAATGCAAACTGTCTATTAGAGTGTTGTTATAAAGTGCTACATTTATGCTATAAAGTATATATAAGATTTAAAGTGTTGATGATATCTACAATTATGTTATTTTATTACTTTATTTTCTGCAAATTGTCTATTACATTTTTGCTATAAAATATTGCATTTTTAATAGAAAATCTACTAATCTACTAAATCTAAGAAGAGCCAATAAAGTTAGGCCTAGGACGAAAACTAAAAAATGTTGGTCCAATTGTTTGTTGAAATGAATGATTCATATTATTTTGATTGTAGTATTTTTTTTATTATTTTTCCAACTTTATCCTCTATTATATCATTTACTATTCTTAAATACCTTTTCATTTCATCCGTGTAAACTTTGGTAACGGAATATTCCGCAAACTATTTATTGAGAAAGGTCTTTGGTTCCAACTAACCCAATCTCAATCAGAGTTGGCATAATTGTTGAACATGTTTTATATATGAATATGTTAAAGTTTTTTAAAAATACAATATAAAATTTAACATGAACTTAGTCAATTAATTAGGCAGACTGTATATATAGCATTCAAAGTTGAATATCAAAAATTGCAAATAAGAAATCTTGGAAAATTATTTTTTGCATTTTTTAAAAACAAAATCTATGTTAAGATTTTTTTTTTTTTTTTTTTTATCATCAAAAATTACAAATAAGGAATCTTGAAAATTATTTTCTTGCATTTTTAAAAAACAAATCAATGTTAAGTTTTTTTTACTGTTCAATTAATCTTTTTATTATTATTTAGAACAAGACTCAATATTTTAATTATATATGCTTTTATGGTATTAATATTTTTTATCTGTATTTTTACAATGGTATAGTTGTATATTACTTTACAAATATGTATATGTATATATATGAGTAATGTTACCCACCCCTCCTAATCTCCGATCCTTCTTGACATGACACTTTTCATTTGATGATTTAGTCTTTGATAATAAGTTAGTGGGGTCCCAATCCATGACATCCAATTGTTATAAGTCATGTTAGGATGAATTTTTTTGTGAGGGGGGAGGGGGGAGTATTTTTTAGGGGAACAAAGCATATATATATATATATATATATATATATATATATATATATATATATATAT